ACCTGGCAGGCGCCGACCCCGCCTGGCTCGGGGAGACCGTCCTGCACATTTCCAGCCTCTTCAGCCCGCAGATCCTGGCGGGGCAGCTGCTGCTGATCCATGCCCCTCCAGACGCCTACCCGCCCGCGGGCGCCGGCCGGGAGCCCTGCTCCGAGCAGAACGTGGATCACGCCTTCCTCATGAGCTCTGCCTCGAAGCTCTCGGAGTTCTTCCTGCTGCTGGAGGACAACGCCTTCTGCGCCCCCAACTTCATCAGCCACGTGCAGTGGAAAGTGGACACGCTGCGCTCTCAGCCCTGGGTCTTCCTGGAGTTCGCCAACCTGGGCGTCCTGGGCAAGCTCTTCCGCAACGGCGACCTGCCGACACTGGCCCACTTCCTGCTCCTCTTCTACCGGGAGAAGCCCCTCAACAGGCTGCTCGCCCACTTCCGCGTCCTCCTGGCCCAGAAGGACCCCATCCTGTGCACGCCCTTCCTCTTCTACCACAGGGCCACCTACTACCCCCTGAACGACAGGCAGGAGGCCTCGGGCGCATACAGGAAGAGCCCCTACGCCCCTGACAACCCTCCAGCAGCCGCCTTCACCGACATGAAGGTGTTTGAGGTCCACTTCCCCTGGGAGGCCTACACTCTGGACGAGTCCTTCTTCTGGACCCACAACGTGAGCGCCGGCAGCCACCTGACCGTCGTCCTGAACCAGCCGGCCGACCTGAGGAGGGTGCAGGTGCTGACGGGCACCGTCGTGGATGGCAAGTGCGCTCTGGAGAAGGGGCAGGTGGAGCTGGGCTATGGGCCCGAGGGCATGCCGCAGCGCTGCTCCAGCTTCGTCCTGCTGGGCCGCCTCCTGGAGGGGCAGCTGGATCAGGAGGTCGTGCCCAGGTCCATGGGGTACCAGGTCAGCTGCGTGAGGCTGCTGGCGAACGCCAACCAGACAGGCGGGCTCATCGTCAGGCACATTTACCTCTGGGAGGAGCATGCCAGAGACGCGGGCCACTTGGGATGAAGACAGACCAGGAAGGCAATGAAACATTAAAATCTTGCAGTCATTCTAGCCTGAGTGATCTGGGGGCGGGGCGGGGGCGGGGCGGGGGCGGGGCGTGCCAGGGAATGAGGGGCAGAGAGGGAAGACACTCTGGTGCCAACAAGATGCTCCACCTGCTCCTTCCTTTTTCTATCCAGACAAGGGACTCTTTCAGGCTCTCTTTTCCTGGGCCAGATGTAGCTTAGCCCAATTTGGGACAAGGCCCTGGTCGCTCCCAGAACCTTTCTATTCCTGGGGTGCTGAGGTCAGCACAAGGACAGGGTGATGGTGTGTGTTCTCCCACCTGGAGGAGAGGGGTAACCGGAGGGGAAATCATGGCCGGGCCCTGGAATTCACAGAGAAGAAGCTAAGAAAGGGTCTCTCATGAGGAGTCAAACTCCCCGAGGCTCTGGAGTTCACAGACACACGCACAGCAGTGAAATGAAGCCCTTGACTCTGTCTTTCTAAGCTGTCCTGTGGCGCCAGCCCAGTTCCTTCCTTCCCTCACAAACGACTGTGGAACGAACGGTTTGCCACCAAGCATCACCTTCTCCTTGGTGCTCACGCCTCACCCCCACACCAGCTTCTGAATCCCAGCGCTGCTGAGACTGCTCCCTGTTCGTAACGAGAAAAATAGTCAAACCTAGAGGGGTTTCCAGATCTCATTCTCCTTAACCCTCTGCAGCAGTACACAGTACAACTTAAGTCTTCTTGACTCCTGGGATTCGTCCATTCATCAGAATTACTGAATCCCAACTATGTTCCGGGTTTCCCAGGTGGCGCTAATGGTAAAGAACTCACCTGCCAATGCAGGAGACTATGAGAGTCGGGTTGCGGGTTCAGTCCCTGGGTTAGGAAGAGCCCCTGGAGGAGAGCGTGGCAACCCGCCCCAGTATTCTAGGCTGGAGAATCCCACGGAGAGAGGAGCCTGGGGGCTACAGTCCATGGGGTCTCACAGAGTGGGACACGACTGAAGGGACTTAGCAGGCTCACTCTACTATGTTCCAGGGACCAAAGGAGCTCCTCTTGGGTTTAATAAGTACAGAACCCCTGGGGAGTACGGCCCTGTGTTAAAATTTCATTGGGAGCTTAGGAAAGGCTTTCTGGAAGTCACAACGTCTAAACCTGACCTACCAGATTTTCAGAGAAGAAAGCCAGGTGATGAGGAAGGTTCAGGAAGATTTTCCAGTAAAAGAAATAGCATGTAGGGAAGTGGGCCAGAAGTGAGAAGGAGCTTGGCTCATTGGGGGAAACTACTCATTTAATGGGGCTGGAAGTGGAGGGCAAGCTGGAGTAGGAGTGAGGCAGAAGCTGCAGCTGCAGGACGAAGAAAGAACCAGTTTACAAAAGGCCGTGGGCAGTTCAGTGGGGGCAAGGATGATCATTGCAACAAGCAGTGCTGGGACAGCTGCATGTCCACGTGCCAGGGAGCGAGGTGTGGCTCCTGCCTCACATTACATTAAAGATGAACCCAGATCTAGACCCAGACGGAAGAGCTAAAAACTAAAAACCTCTTAGAAGAAAACAGAAGAAAAAGTGTAAATCGTTGTGACCTTGGATTAGGCGATAGATTCTTAGATATGACACCAAAAGCACAAGTCAGCAAAGGATAAATAAATTGGTGGTCGTGGTTGGTGGTTTAGTCATTAAATCGTGTCCGACTCTTGGGACCCTATGGATTGTAGCCTGCCAGGCTCCTCTCTCCATGGGATTTCCCAGGCAAGAACACTGGAGTGGGTTGCCATTTCCTTTTCCAGGGGATGTTCCCAACCCAGGGATCGAACCCACGTCTCCCGCATTGCAGGTGAATTCTTTACCAACTGAGCTACCAGGGAAGCCCAAATAAATTGGACTCTATCAAAATTAAAAACTTTATGGTTCACGGGATACTGTCAAGGTAGTGAAAAGATAACCCACAGAATGGAAGAAACATCTGCAAATCATATCTGATGAGAGATGGATATCCAGAATATATAAAGAAAGCTCACACACAATAATAAAAAGACAAATAACAATTAAAATTGGGCAAAGGATTTGAATAGACATTTCTCTGAAAAAGATACACAAATGGCCAACAAGCAAGTGGAAAGGCACTCATGGTTAGTCATTAGGGAAATGCAAATCAAAACCACATTGAAACACCACTTTACGCCCACCAGGATGGCTATTTAAAAAACAGGAAATAAGTGTTGGTGAGGTGTGGAGGAACTGGAGCCTCACACGTGCTATTGGTGCCGTTCGGTCACTCAATCGCGTCTGACTCTTTGCAGCCCCAAGCACCGCAGCACGCCAGGCCTCCCTGTCCATCACCAACTCCTGGAGTCCACCCAAACTCATGTCCATCGAGTCAGTGATGCCATCCAACCATCTCACCCTCTGTCGTCCCCTTCTCCTGCCCTCAATCTTTCCCAGCGTCAGGGTCTTTTCCAGTGCATCGGCTCTTCGCATCAGGTGGCCAAAGTATTGGAGCTCCAGCTTCAGCATCAGTCCTCCCAGTGAGTATTCAGGGCTGCTCTCCTTCAGGACTAACAGGATGATCTCCTTGCATCCAAGGGACTCTCAAGAGTCTTCTCCAACACCATAGCACGTGCATGCTTAGCAGAGTTGTAAAATGGGGCAGCAACTTTGGAAAATGTTTTAACAACTCTCAAAATGTTAGAGTTACCATATGATCCAGCAGTTTCACTCCTAGTCTGCATGTACTTAAGAAAATAAAAACATATATCCATACAAGGGTTTTCACATGAATGGTCATAGCAACATGGTAATAACCCAAATGTGGAGACAATCCAAAAGTCCATCCCTGATGAACAGGTAAGTGATACACGGTGTATCGTATGATGAGATAACCACTCAGCCAGGAGAAGGGCTGGAACACTGACACGGGCTGCCGCACGCAGGAGCCTTTAGAACACGGTGCGGCATCAATGAAGCCAGTCACAAAGGCCAGAGAGCTTACGGCTCCACTTGCATGAGATGCCCGCAGTAAGCAAGTCCAGAGGGACTCGTGTCTGCAGGTGAGGGAGAGCTGGCTGTGGCAGTGGTCGCACTCTGATCATACTGAGAACCACTGAATTGTAAACTTTAAGAAGAGAGAGTTTTGGGGCGTGTGAATTATGTCTCAACAAAGCAGCTACTTGTTTAAAGCTGTAGAAGCCAGTGAAAGGGTTTAGAATACGCTGGCGGCAGCAGCAGGTCACAGAGTGGTTCTGAGCAGGAGAGGAAGCGGCTGTGGGTGCTTCGGGGAGGTCACCCCAGGCACCCCAGCGGGGTAGCTGGAGGGGGTCAGGATGGGGAAGCCCATGAGCACTAACAAGATGGGGGCTTCCCTGGCAGTCCGGTGGCTGAGACTCCACACTCCCAGTGCCGGGGGCCCGGGCTCGGTCCCTGCTCGGGGAGCTAGATCCCACGTGCCACAGCAGACTTCACACGCTGTTACTGAAACACAGAAAAAGGACCCCACACGCCACAGTGAAGACCCGGCACAGCAAAACGAATAAATGCGCACAAGGAAACGTCAAGGAAAACCAACAGGACGACGAGGGGTCTCAGCCCCGGCCGCTTCTCCCTCCCCGTCAGCCTTCTTTTCCACGGTAAATCAGAAACGAATCTGTTTTCCACATACCTCTGACTACTCACGGTATCTGTCCCGGCCACCGTTGCTCCAGCCAGCCCTGAGCGGGGGACAGTTCCAGGGCTTTCTGCCACGTCTTCCTTCCGCTTTCAGTCAGGGTCAGAGCCGCACCTGAGGGAACGCTCAGGCACCGCGCAGGTCCGTCATCCTCGAGGGTCTCCAGCCCGAGCCTCCGTGTCCCTCGTCCGGCGGAGGACGCCACCCTCCACCTGGCGTTGACTGGAGCCTCAGCCCAGCACATCTGAGGTGAAATTCTTCAGCGTTTGTCTGTTTCTGACGATGGTTACCTTACCTACGTAAACTCACAACCCTAAAACAGGGCTTTGAAAAAATGGTCCGTAGGCTGCTTACCGCAGGATCCCCTGGAACTGCTCACTGAAAGTGATTTTGCCAAGCCCGGCTCGTCCTCCAGGCAGAGTGCTGCAGCAGCGGGCCTCTGCCTCCCCCGCCTCGCCCTGGCCGGCCCCCCAGCCCCGGGTCAGCCTCTCAGACCGGCCGCTGTACGTCAGGCCGCGGGCGGCCCCTGTCACCCCCCGAGGGGCGCTGGGGAGACTCGGGAGGGGCTGGGGGAGGCCGGGGAGGCTGCACGGGGGCGGCGGCCGGCAGCGGAGGGAAGCGTGTGAGCCAGGGCCCCGCGGCTCCCAGGGCCTCCTGGCCCGACAGCGTCCCTGGGGTCCAGGGCCATCACATGGCCGTCCCGGGGAGAAACCTGTCAGAGGGGGAAGGAGCGCAGGAAGGCGGGAGGCCTCCCACAGCCGCGCTCCAACCAGCGGAGAGGGGGCGTCTCCTCCCCTTGCTGGCCGGCTGCTCTGGGACCCGGCTGGACTTCCCGGATGCCCCATCATCACCCCGAGCCTGAGGACACAGGGCAGCTGACTCCCTGCGGCCTCCACGCCGGGGGCAGGAAAACTGGGGGGTCCGACCTCTGGGGTCCCAAGTGGTCTCGCCTGTAGGATGCAGACACTCAGGCCGCTGAGAAAGTGAGTGGGGTCCGTGTGTGAGGACCCGGGATTCGCAAGAGCCCCTCGCATCGGGTCCTGCTACCGGCAGGTCCCCGGGGCGCTCCCGCTTGCAGCCCCTCCCTCGTGTCGCCGCTGCCCCGGGGTTCTTCCCCACCACCTCCACTCTGGCTGGCTCTGCCTCGGGACCAGCCCTGCCGCCCACCAGGCCGGCACGCCCGTCGCCACGTGCTCCCCGAGCCACGAGGGCCCCGGACCGCGCTTCCTGCCCGGGGAACTGCCTGGCTGTGCCCTGCACCCTCGTCCCCCAGGCCTCGCTGGGCACACGGGAGGCCCTCCTCCCTGAGTCTGAAGTCCCCGCTGCACCGTCTGCCCACGCCCTGTCCCCACCACCCCCTGCCTGGGCACCGGGCTGGTCTGCCGCCCCTCCCTCTCCCCTTCCACACACGCATCCTGCCTGCTCTCTGCTCTCGTGACCCCAGAAGACCGCGGTCTGTCACCCTCTCACCTCGGCTTCAGGGTTGGGCTCTTCTAGGCATGCTTGGGGTAACCTGTCGGCCAACCTCCCGGCTCTACCAGCCCTCCTGCCAACCCAGGAGCAGGGACTGTCCAGGCTGGAAATCTGTTTCCTCACCTCCCCAAAGAGCCGAGGCCGCAGGGGACTCGCTGCCTAAGTGTCAGGCTGTCACGTGCTTCAGTAGGCGGTCAGCGCGATAGATCTGTTCACCTTCCAGCCCACTGGGGGCCTCGTCGGGGTCCCTGGAGCTCAGAGTGGGCCTGCCTGCCTCCTTTCCACCCACACGCTGGCCTGTCAGATCAGGGGTGGTGCCGGGACCTCTGACCCGAGTTCCATGAGGTGCTGTGGCAGCCGGGGGCACGGCACCCACACAGGGCTCCTGCAAGGCTGTGTCTGAGGCAGGGACCCCCTTCTTGGCTTCCAGGAGTGAGCCCCGCTCTTTCTCAGCTTGTGGGCTGTGATAGGGATGGTGGGACCGGAGGCAGGCCCACAGCCTTCAGAGGAGGGCACGGGGACCTGCAGGGCTGGTAGGTCCGTAACCTCGGGGCCTTAGGGGCCCCTGGCCACGAGGCTGGGGTTCAACCCCTAACACATCCAGGCCCTAAGCCTGGGTGCCTCCAGGCCCCTGGCTTCTGTTCACCCTCTGGAAGCGGTCCTCTACGAATGAAGGCTCCCACTGCTGGAGAGAGGGGCGCTGGGAACCACTGGCTTGGCAGAGGCGGGGGTGTCCAGCCCCCTTATGGAAGGCAGGGGCAAGTACCCTGCCTGGGGGGCCGTGAGCCAAGCCGTGGGGTGGGTGCTGGCACCAGACCCTGCGCGGGTCACTCAGCAGAAGCCGAGGGCCACGGGCCCGTCACTGACACTTCGCTCGTCCGGTTGGAGGCCCTGCCGCCAAGAGCCAGCCCCACCCGTCACTGCAGTAAAACGTTCGGGCCTCACTGCCGGCTGCGTGGCTGGGAACGAGGACAGAGCTCTGTCTGCAGCTGAGGAAGGGCCCCCTCTGACGGACCTCCAAGCTGCTGGGGGCTCAGGCGGGATGAGGGTATGGCCAGGAGGCCCTGAGGGGTGCTTTGTGTGTGTGGGGCGGGGTGGGGTGTGCAGCCAAGCCTGGGCTCTCGCGGACAGTCGTGTGGCTCCAGACACCGGGAAGAGTGGCGAGAGGCCTTGGCTGGGGAAGTTGGGATCATGAACCATCGAGAACAAGTGTCTTCAAAAGACCTAGATTTGGGGGAAAGGAAGCGTCTCGGGGAAGCGCAGAAAGGATGAGTCGGCACAGAGGCTCATTGTGCACAGGGAGGCGATGGAAGGAGGCGCTCCGACCAGGCCCCGGGGGCCCTGCTGACGGGCCAGCCTCGTGCCCAGGACCCAGTCCGGGCACTTAATCCTCATCTCAGTCCTTGGTTGTGGGTCCACTGTTTCCATCTGTTTTTTAATTAATTTGTTAATTAATTTTTTGATGTGGACCATTTTTAAGTCTTAATTGAATTGTTACAATATTGCTCCTGTTTTATGCTTTTGGGGTTTTGACCTCAGAGCACGTGGGATCCCAGCTCCCCAACCAGGAATCGAGTCTACAGCCTCTGCCCTGGAAGGAGTGGTCGTAACCTCCGGACTAAGGAAGCCTCGCGGCTCAGGTTACAGTCGGGAACAGGCCCAGCGACTCGACGGGGCACCCAGTGCTGAAGTGGCAAATCTGGGACCCACGTGTGGCCAGTCCGGCTTCAGAGTCTGAGCTCTCAACCCTGAATAATGCAGCTGGACTTCCACACGGTCCCTCACACCTCTGCGGGGCCTGAACCCCTGACCCTGCTGGGTTCCTCTCTAGAAGAGATGACCGAATGGGCTGGGGTCAGCCGCCTCCTGCCAGGGGCTGCTGCGTGGAATCCCGCGTGCCCCTCCTGGGAGAGGCCGCCGTTGCCCCGCCTTGCCTGGAAGAACCTCATTCAGCCCCCCTTCAGCTGCGCCCGCGTAGCCTGGGCCCCATGTCCTCCTCCAGGGAGACATGCCCTCAGCTCACAGACAGGAGGGGCCAGAGGAGAGAAGCCCGTCCCAGGGGCCACGCTCACCAGACTTTCTTCCCAAGGGTGGTGGGGCGAGAGCATGGGGGGGCACGCTGCTCTTTGGGGGGCCCCGCCAGGTCCTTCTGAGCAGGCGTTAAGTCACCAGCTCTGTCTCCTGGGGGCGACGAGCCGACTGCACTGCAAGGAGTGGGGTGAGGTATCAGGAACACAGGGGTGATCGCCCTTTATGACCTCCCCTTGAACCGTAACCCCCAGACTCGAGGTCTCGGGGGGTCACTGCCCTCTTCTGCCCACAGACAGGCACCCTGTGCTTGGGAGGGTACAGAGCAGCACCGTGGCCTCTGCACCACATGTCGGAACCTGCCCGTCCCCACCAGCCTGACAACCCAGGAGGCCCCACAGCGTCACTGCAGGCTGACAGCCGCTGCTCGGGGGACAGGCTCTCCCCAAGCGCGGGCACATGAAGACTTCATGCAGAAGGAAGTTCAGCCCTTTTGTTCCCCACTGGTTCCCTGTAGTGTCTAGAATAATCCGTGGCACGCAGAAATGCTGGAGGAGTATTTGAAAGAGAAGTGCACAGCCAAGGTCTTCCAGCTCTTGACTCTTTTCTCCAGCTCCCTCTCTTCCGGTTTCAGCTTCAATCGGCTGGACTCAGCATCACCTGAGCAGAAAGGTGCCCGTGTTGCCCACACCTTTGCCTACCCCCAGCTCTGCCTCCGACACCCCGCCACCTCCAGCGTCTGGCTCCCAGAAGCTTGCCCTCAGCTGGGTGGGGTCCCTGTGCCCTCCACGCGCATCTGCACCTTTCTCACCCCAGCTCCATGGAGCTTTAAGGAGGGGAGAAGGGAACAGGGAGGGTCCCATGGTGGGCAGAAGGCCCCGGGCACAGCGCTGCCCCATCGCAGCTTCTCTCCAGGGAGGATGGGGGGCCACGTCAGAGGAGGAGGACTGTTGAAAGCATCACAGGGAACAGTTCTCAGCCACCCCGGGCAGAGAGAGCCTGAACCAAGCACTGCCTCTCACCCTGCCACAACCCTCCATGCACAGGGCCCCTCGCCTTCCCATCGTCCCATCACCAGGACTAACACCCTGTCTCCTGTCCTGGATCATGGGCAGGCGAATCACCAGGCCTGCAGGGAGCTGACTTCCCTCACGGCTCCAGGGCGGGTCAGGTATGAAGGGTGAGGGGGGTATGGGGGAAAGTCCCCTGAGTTCAGACTCTGCTGTGGCTCCAGCCCCACGGCAGCAGCTTCGCAGACCCCGCCTGCTGGGGAGGGCTCCGGTCGTGCCCTGGGCAGAGCAGCTGCAGGCTGCAGGTGTCCCTGGCTCAGGACACAACTCCAAAGGCAACGCTTTCTCTTTCCGTCCTCACCCCACCAAGGGCTCTGTAGTTTGAAGGGAACCCGGGGGACTTCCCTGGTGGTCCAGTGGCTGAAACTCTGAGCTCCCAATGCAGGGGGCCCTGGGTTCAATCCCTGGTCAGGGAACTATATCCCACATGCCGCGACTAAAGATGCCACCTGCCACATCAAAGATCAAAGCGTTCTGTACCTAAGACCTGGCACAGCTAAGTGAATTAACAGGAATAAATAAAAGGAACCTGTGCAAGGTTCTCCCTGGGAAAGGACTTGGCCCATGTGGGGCTTGGAGGTGGGGTCCAGCACAGACTTAACAGATTTCTCCCTGATTATTTAAAAAAACACAAAAACGATGGGGGGTAGGAACAGAGCCTGGCTCACTCTACTCCACTCTGGGAACACTAGGGGAGGAAGTGGCGGCTGTGAGTTTGGGCAGATGAGCCTTGCAGCTCGCTCTGTCCACCACTGACTGACTCAATGTCTGGCACCAAAGCGCAGGAAGGCTCAGCTCGGGCTCCTTCTGGCTGCCTGGGCTCCTGTGTGGTGACGGCTGGTCTCTCCCTGATGCTCCGAATAGAACTGCTAATAGGTGTGAATTCATGCACGTAGCTGGAGAAGGCAATGGCATCCCACTCCAGTACTCTTGCCTGGAAAATCCCATGGACGGAGGAGCCTGGTAGGCTGTAGTCCATGGGGTCGCGAAGAGTCGGACACGACTGAGCGACTTCACTTTCACTTTTCACTTTCATGCATTGGAGAAGGAAATGGCAACCCAGTCCAGTGTTCTTGCCTGGAGAATCCCAGGGATGGCAGAGCCTGGTGGGCTGCCATCTGTGGTTGCACAGAGTTGGACACGACTGAAGTGACTTAGCAGCAGCAGCAGGGAAAAGGCGCAGGCAGGAAGAGAGCAGAGAGTGCCAGCTGGCGGTGCCCAGTGAGATCCCAGCAGAGCAGGCTGGACGGACCCACCGGACACAGACCCAGATCCCTGAGGAGGTGCCGGGCCGGTTTCTGTGACCGCCCCCCCTTCCTCTCGGACCTTAACTGCCCCTCTACCCCGAGCCCCCCGAGTCCTAGAGGGGCCAGGAAGTTAAAAGGTTCTCAAGTAGAAAGTCAAAGCTCTAGCAGGGAGACTCTGTTCCCTAAAATGGAAAGGGGTGCAGGTAAGGAAGACCCAGGCCCGGGCTGGAGCTGGGCGTAAGACTAAGACAAACCAGTAAAGTTGAGGGCCTTGTCGAGCGGGGACCAGCAGACCTCTGCCCTCAGACCTGCAGGGACAGAGGAGGCTGGGGGCCAGACCCGCCACGTGACGGACAGCTCCTCTGGGGGCACCATGGGGGTCACGGGGCGGCTGGGCACCATCCTCTCGGCAAACCGCTCCCAGGGGCAATCAAGCAGGGCTCACAGCCGCTCAGTGGTGGACACAGACACACACCGAGTCTAGAAGTGTGTCCGGAAATCAGAGCAGGAAGACCCAGGCCCACATCACAGACCCCCACCTTGGGGCCACTCCTGTCTCGCCGCGAGAGCCTCTCAAGCCGCCTGGACCCTGGGCTGTGCCGGAAGGGCATCCGGTTCAGCCTGTAGTTCCTGTCGGGCCTTTTTGCTGAGAACACACTGATCTCTCAGGCCGCAGGCAGCTGGACCCTCAAACAGTGGTTCTGCCGCAGGAAAGGGGACCCCTTCCAGGGCCCGAAACTGAGCTCGTGTCTAACACTCGGAAATGAATTGTCTGAGGAGGCACATCTGCTGACAAAGCAAGAGATTTACTGGGAAAGCGTCCGGGTGGAGAGCAGGAGGGGAAGGGAACCCAGAACTGCTCTGCCACGTGGCTTGCAGTCCCGGGTTTTATGGTGATGGGATTAGTTTCCGGGTTGTCTTCAGGCAATCATTCTGACTCAGAGTCCTTCCCGGTGGTGCACGCCTTGTTCAGCCAAGATGGATGTCAGAGAGGATTCTGGGAAGTGGTCAGACATGTGGTGTCTCCTTTTGACCTTTCCCGAACTCTTCCAATTGGTAGAGTCTTATTAGTTCCGTGTTCCTTACCAGGACCTCCTGTCATAAAACAACTCATGCAGATGGTTACTATGGTGCCTGGCCAGGGTGGGCGGTTTCAATCAGTGTGCTTCCCCTAACAGTTCCTTTCTCTGTGGGGATTCCTCTGAGGATAAAAAGCTATGGGCCTTCTTGCCTAAGAGGCTCACAGGCACTTTATAATGATTTCAGGGGCTCACTGTTTGGGATCCTGGCTCTGGGACCCTGCATGGTAGGAAGGCACTGTGTGGAGCCCTGGTAAGGCTCACTGCCGGCCTGGAGGGCACAGGCCCGGCCTCCACTGCGCTCTGGTGCCGCCAGGAGCGGGGACACACTCCCAGCAGCTGCAGTCAGAGCCCCGAGGTGGCGTGGCTTGCCTCTCATTCGGGCCGATCCAGGGCCCTGAACACTCATGGGGGCCAGTCCTCCACTGCCCCCCCGTGGGCGGAGGTGCCTCTGCTTTACCTTGGAAGGAGGCAAGGACGCTGAAAGATTGAGACAGCCTCCGCCCGGCAGAACCCCACATACTGGCAATACACACATACCAGATCATTGTGCTGTGCACCTGAGACCGATAGATTGTCTACTGTGTATCAGCAAAAATAAATTTTAAAAAAGAAAAGCAAAAAGAAAGAAAAGCAGCTGTTATTCAAATTGATGACTAACACAGAACACCCTCCGTTTAAGGAAGACATAAGCCTGGGGGTGCTCCAGGTCCCCAGGTCACCCGGGAGGAGACAGTGTCAGGACAATCCCTCTGAAGGGGCAGCACGTGCTGCTGGCTCCCAGCCGGCCTGTCCCCTGGGTCTTGGGGCCTTGGGCAGGGGTCGGGCTGAACTGGAGAACGGGCCAGAAGGTAAGTGGGAGCCCCTCCCAACTGGAAAGCCGTGCTCAGGCGTCTAAGAACAAGCAGAGCATCGAGGCTGATTTCTCCCACCTGCTGGGCTAAACACAGATCAGAGTCAGAGGAGGCTGCAAGAGAGGTCAGGCGGCAACGTGAGGTGCCGACTCAGGACAGGGCCGGCGGCTCAGGCTTCTACCCCCAGATCCACACTTGGGATACACGGCAGCCCCAGGGGAAGCGGTGGACGCCGCCAGCACCAGCCACAGCCCACACCTGGCCTTCCAGTGCTTCACACGCGTCCAGCCTCCCAGGCCAGAGAGCAGGCTGCAGACATGCGGATGTCCACTCACCAGCGTCCGGTGGATCCAGCGCTGGCTGCAGCGTCCCCTTCCTCCATGCAGTGGCCGGGGGCAGAGCAGCTGTGTCTTCCTCGCCAGATGCCAGTGGCTCAGGCTGGGTGCCTGTAGGAGCCAATCCCTACCCCATCTGGGAGGGAGGCCAGGCCTCATTCCCCGCCCCCCAGGACCCAGGTGCAGCCCACGGCAGGGCGTCAGGGGCCTGAGGCCCACGTCTAAGCAGTCCTGCCTGCTGCCTGGCCTGAGGGGGCACTCAGGGGCCCTGACAGGCCCCTCCCTCTGCTCACAGACACCTCGTCCTACTTTAGGGGCTCCTCACTGACCTTCCATAGGGATAAGAACACACGCTAGTGCAGAAAGCCCAGGCCACAGCTTAACACCTACAACGCGTCTTCAGAGAACCGGGAAGGGGTTGTCGGGGACAGGAGACTGAGGGGGGGTCCGAGAGGCTGAAGAGGTGGCCGGGGCTCAGGCCAGGCTGAGCGGGGACCCGCGAGCGCCCTCAGGAGCCCGAGGGGCGGCGAGGAAGTCCAGGTCCAGCTTTTAATCCGCTGTCCTCCGCAGCCGCCGTTCTCGGTGTGACCCCCACTCAGGAAACGCTGTTTCCCAGGGCCCTCCTGAACAGTCTCACAGATGCTCCACGTCCCGACCCGCCCCACCCTCCCCCCCTAGTTCCAGGAGCGTCTCCCACAAGCGGAGCTCCTCTGGTGCGGGGGGGACCCCAAGCACCCGCTGTCCCAGGACCGAGGGCTCCAGGCCTCTGGCCAGCGGCAGCTCCGCGCTGCGGCGCCGGCCTCACTGAAGGTGCTGCGGTCCTCCTCCCGCGTCCCCAGGCCGCATCGCCGGGTGCGGTGCCCTCGGGCGGGCCCCCCGCCCCCCGCTCTGAGGCCCTCAGGGCTCCGAGTCCCCAGGGGCCGGGGCTCGCCAAGACCAAGAAGCCAGCCCCGTCCGGCCAGCCCTGCAGATGGGGCGGCGTAGCGCTCCTAGCCCGGCCCTCGGCGAGGGGCTCCGCGCCAGGACCCGGGCCCTTCGAGCCGCGGAGCTGGGCGGCTGTGCAAGCTCGTTCACAGCGCCCCCTGCCGGCGGGCGGCCCCGCAGCGCGGACGAGCTGGTCCGGGTGAGGGCAGCGGGGGTCACTGCGCCGGCAGAGGGAGCACCGGCCCGCCGGCCCCGCGCGCCCGCCCCGCCGCCAGGGGGCGCCGGCCGGCCGCGCGCCGGTCCGAGGGGCACGGGCTCTTCTTCCCGCGGAGGGACTTCGCGCCCCGGGCCCCGACGGCAGAGACAGGGGCACCTCTGACCGCGGGCCGGAGTCCAGAGGGGCCGGCCCCGAGCCGGACAGGCCCGCGGGGCCCCTCGCCGCATTGCCCGCCCCACGCGGGCCCGACCGCGCCCTGAGAGGCCTGGGAACACGCGCGCTCCCCCGGAGCCGCCCCGTTCGCCCCGGGCCGCGTCCTGTCCGCCCGCCGTCCGCCCGCCTGGCTGAGGGCGTGAAGCCCTGGGAAGGGGCTCCGGGCCGCTCCTGCCTCAGGTCTTCACACAGGCGCCACCGCGGGCCTGGCGGGAAGGTGCGTCGCCGGGCGGTGGCGCCCGCTTGAGGCTCGCTTTGCAACCGGCGGAGAGCGAGAGCCGCCTGAGGAGGACGCGGTCGGCGGTCCGACGGCGGCGCAGAGCGGGGCAGCCGGGTGCGGCCGAGGGGCCCTGCTGCAGTCCAGGGAGGGCGGTGCCTGGAGAGCGGGGCCAGGCCGCCCGGCAGCCCAGCGGATCTGCGGCCCGGCCGGGAGGCGGGCGGGCCCGCGCTGTTGGTCTGCGGAGGGCGCGGCACGGCCGCGGGGGCTTTGATCAGAGGAGTGGTGGAGGGAGTGGCGTCCTGCGCGGGACACGGCTGTGCTCCCCGCAGGAGTGGTTTCCGGTGTTGCCATGACGGGCCTGCACACATTTTCCCTCTCCTCAAGTGACCAGCTGAGGGACCTCTGAGATGCGGTTCTAATTCTGAATACCCGAGTGTAACACGCGGGTCCATTTCCTGGTGTGAGAGGAACGGCTGGCGTTTGGTTTTATAAGACGGTTGGGCCCCCACAATGGTATCTTCACTGCTGTGCCGTCCTCATTTAGAGGACTCCGGTCCTGTCATCTGTCGTCCCTTCGCAGTGGACGGGTGACCGCAGTGTATGTGGGTTGGGCTTGGATTCTTGCCCTGGAAAACCTGCAGGGGTGATGACTTCCTGCTGGTAGAGCTCAGGAAGAGTCAGGTCACCCACCAGTGCCCTTGGCTTCCTGCATCTGTTTACCCACAGTACCCTAGCCATGTCATTTTAAAGTATCCTGAAATATTTACAAATTAAATGCCTGGTGGCTCAGGTGGCTCAAGTCCAGGGTGCCCAGGTGAACTTGGAACTAGGAAACATGTTCTCTGGTCTCAGCCATGGTGGTTCCTGAGGCTGCCAGCTCCACGGTGGATGTTCTGGTCAAGGGATAAGGGGAGAGTGGGTGGAAATTCAAGTGAGTGCTCTGAAACTTCACGTGTACAAAGCTCAGACGCATGAGCCATGGGCCATCACTGCCCTAAACAAAACAACTTGCACAGGGAGTCCTGCTCTGTTGAAGGTGGGCCCATCAAGGGTCAGTGTGAAGCTGCCCGGCCCTGAACTCAACACTATCATCTGCCTTTGCCTCTTTGACCTGCACCCCACCTGCTGGGAGAGTAGGCCCATTAAAAACCTCTTTCCATCCTCCACTGATCCAGGAGTTATAAATACATTTGAAACAGTAACATCCTCCTGTTACTTGTGGGATCACACACCCCCACACCTTGACAGTATGCTTCTTTACATCACACCAATTAAAATTAGTCCTTTTACACGGTACTTGGATTTACTTCTATTATCTATTTCCAAGTTTAGATTTTTATTTCTGACTTTTCCATCTCCTTTTTTTCTCTCTCTCTTGTCAACCTCAAAAATAAAAGGCAGTTATTTTTACCAGCAAAATGGGCTTATTCAGGAATAGCAGAGAATTGTGACTTGGGACAGGCAAGCTGTGGTGAGGCACAGGCAGTCAGGAGAGCAGAGGGACGCGCTTTCACTGGGTTTAGGAGGAGAAAAACTGCCCTTGTGAAAAACGTCCTGCCTTGTGCCAGAGGGAAAACAGCCACACCTCGTCTCCCTCTTCCTGCTGGTGATGCAAACGGGGCCTGAAAGGTGCTCCTTCTGGCCTCACTCCAAGCACGATGAGGTTGCTTATTCTCACACACCCCACTCATACCCGCTTCGGGAATTTAAAATACTCCTGCGATCAGAGGGGAAGGCCCAGGGTCACCTCTAGTGTCCAAGCCCTCTGAAGAATCCTGACGGGCCTGCATTCTCTCCCCCATGCTTCCCCACTTCAGAGCGATTACACATCAGCCTGGGCAATGGAGGGGCCAGAGAAGGTGGACAGGCTTTGTGGGCACAAGATTGTCCTGATGGAGGGGCAAAGGATGGAGGTGCCAGGGAGAAAGTAGGGCCATCCCTGGAGTGGTCATTCTTGACCCAGGGCCAAGGCTGTGCAGGTGGTTTCTGAGCTGCTTACAAAAGTAGGCTTTGCACAGGACCATTGGTTACTTTACTTATTTGGCTGCACTGGCTCTAATTTGTGGCAAGCAAACTCTTAGTTGCAGCACATGGGCTATAGTTCCCTGTTGTTCATCATTTATGTGCTAAGTCGTGTCTGATCCTTTGTAACACCATGGACTGCCACCATGCTGTGCCAAGCTTCCCCTGTCCTGTCCTTCACTGTCTCCTGGAGCTTGCTCAAACTCATGTCCATTGAATCAATGAGGCCACCCAACCATCTCATTCTCTGTCGTCCCCTTCTCCTCTTGCCTTCGATCTTCCCCAGCTTCAGGGTCTTTTCCATTGAGTCGGCTCTTTGCATCAGGTGGCCAAAGTGTTGGAGCTTCAGAATCAGTCCTTCTGATGAATATTCCGGGTTGATTTCCTTTAGGATTGACTGGTTTGATATCCTTGCAGTCCAAGGGATCCTCAAGTCTTCTCCAGCACCACAGTTCAAAAGCACCAATTCTTTGGTGTTCACCCTTCTTTATGGTCCAGCTGTCACATCCATAGATGACTACAGGAAAAACCATGGCTTTGACTAGACTACAGGAAAAACCATGCCTTTGACCTTTGTCAGCAATGTCTCTTTTTAATATGCTGTCTAGGTCTGTCATAACTTTCTTTCCAAGGAGTAAGCGTCCTTTAATTTCATGGCTGCAGTCACCCTTTGCAGTGATTTTGGAGCCCCCCCAAAATAAAATCTGTCACTAGTTCCCTGACCAGGGATCAAACCTGAGCGCTCTGCACTGGGAGTGCAGAATCTTAGCCAAGGGACCACCAGGGAAGTCCTGTTGCTTTCTTTTAAAAACCTTTCTACTATGAAAATATAGCACATGTTCAGAAATGTGCACAAAAGATGTACAGCTTAATTTATGACATAACCACTATGTGGATTTTTAAAAAGTAGAACATTCCCAGCCTTGCTGAAGCCCTCCAGACCTTGCCCTTCCAGACCATGGTCCTTGCCTTTGTCGTAAGTCAAGTATCCATACATACAGGGCTGTTTCTAAGAGATTTTGTTCTACCCTTGTGACAAACTATGATGTCTCTCAAAAAGAGAAATCCTCCCATCTGGTTTTTTCCCATGACTGTCTTGGCTATTCTTAGTCCTTTGTATTTACATACAACTTTTAGAATCAGTTGTTGAATTTCATACACACACACACACACATACAAAACCTATTGGGTTTTTTGATAGGGCTTTTATTAAATTTACATATATCAGTTTGAGGAATAAATTGACATTGTTACAATTCTTTTTGTTCAGTTGCTCAGTTGTGTCTGAGACCCAACGACCGCAGCACACCAGACTTCCTGTCCTTCACTATCTCCCAGAGTTTGCTTAAACTCATGTCTGTTGAGTCCTTGATGACATCCAACCATCTCATCCTCTGTCATCCCCTTCTCCTGCATTCAATCTTTCCCAGCATCAGGGTCTTTTCCAGTGAGCGGACTCTTCATATCAGGTGGCTGAAGTGTTGGAGCTGCACCATCAGTCCTTCCAATGAGTTTTCAGGGTTGATTTCTTTTAGGATTGACTGGTTTGATCTCCATGCAGTCCAAGGGACTCTCAAGAGTCTTCAAAACTACAGTTCAAAGGCACCCATTCTTCGGCACTCAACTTTCTTTATGGTCCAGCTCTTACACTGTCACAGTTAGGAGTTGCTAAACCTTTTTCTTTGAGGACTAGATAAATAGACTTTGTGGGCTGAGGCAAAACTGAGAATTTTATGTAGATATTTACACGCCCATTTATAAAGGCAAAAACCATTCTTAACTCGAAGGCTCCTGAATCTCAATAAATCAGACGTTACTTGGAATGGATCTGGCCTGTGGGCTGTGGTTTTCTGGCCCCTTGAATGCACTTGTTTGTTGTGTGTTGTGGGCTCACAGACTGTCAATTTCCAGTTTTCTAGTTCTCTCTCCAGCTGTATCTAATCTTCTATTATAACCTTTCAGTGGATTCTTACTTTTGGTTTTGGATTTTAAGATTCTAAAATTCACTCCCACCGCCCCCCCCCACCCCACCCCATCTGGTGTCTCCTTTAGAGTAAGCGGTTACTGTGCAGTCTAGGTCTGAAAGTGCCTGTACCCCCAGCCTAAGGGGCCTGTTCCATAGTCTTTCTTTTATTGGTGTTATCATCTTGTCTCACACACTTGGTTACATTTTAGTGCATTCAGGATGCAATAAATTAGTAATTAGCAACATCGCTTGTAGAAAAGTTTAAGCTGATGACATTTTCCTCTAGAGGGTTTTTGTTGGCTCATGCCAAAGCTGCGGGACAGCCAACACTTGGGATCACTGGAGCCCAATGTTAAGGACGAGAGTTTGAGCCTGAGCTGCAACTCCTCAGAGCGTTCCGCTCGCCAGTCTGACTTACCTGCTCCTGGGCCAGAGGACTGAGGGCCTCACCCCAAAGTGAGGGGTGGTCACCAGGGGCACACCCATTGGCAGGACTCTGCATGGCAGCAGAACCACCCGTCAGCCTCCCTGAAGATGGGAAACGCCCCCAGGAGGGGAGCGCCCGTCGCCTCCGTCTTCTCAGTGATCCTGGTCCAGTCACTCTCCAAACTTCTGTGAGCACCCTGCTGCCTCTGAACTTTTACAATACTGTGCGCAGCCTTCTGAGCTGACCTCACTGGGGTGGTGAGTCCACGGGCACCCGGGCAGAAGTCGTCATTAGAGCCACAGAATGTAGTCACTCGAGGAGCCTTGTGCAATGGGGTAACGGCAGTAGATGTCAGTACGCATACGATTCTGGGTCAACACAGCAAGGCCTTGGGAAAACCCACTGCTAAAGCGCAGGAGCTGCAGCCGATAATCAAGCTCGGTTGTGGGCTCCCTGAGTCACGGCACCCACAGTGGCTGTGTGTGTGTGGTGGAGGATGACCCCCATTTCACAGCAGATACCTAGGGGCTGGTTATTCAGCCGACAGACCCCAGGATAGTCCTGAGGTGCAGGTTTCAGCCCTCCTCTCTGTCTCAACTTCTCTATTCAGCCCAAGGATGTGCAGGAATCTAATTGCCACTGCTTAAATGCATTTATTTCTTTCAAATCAAGCTGAAAAGGCAGAGAAACAACTATCTTTTTGGCCACTGGAGGAACAATGTTTGGCAACTCTCAAAAAAAGAAACACAAATGACAAGTATGTAAAATACTCATTAGAAATAAGCACAAATTAAAACAAAACACTATTTTTCCTCCTATTACAGTAGCAACATGTTCATTTAAGATAATAAATACCCAGTGTCAGGAACTGCTGGGCAGGAGGCTGAGGGGCTCTGCCGCTACCAGGCGCCGTGTCAGGAAGTGGAGCCCGGGGACACACCCCCAGAGAGCCCATGGCTCACAAGCACGAGGAAATGATAGGAAAGCATGGACAGTCAGCTTACATCACATAATTTACGAGAAACTGGAGGCAGTCTAACAGTGGATCGTTTAAACAAATTACAGCACAGAAGTACAAATGAGTAGTCAACATGATGGCAGGCAGAGGTGGACATTTACTGACATAGGAATCCCGTATTTTCTTAAATGGAAAAAGTAAGTTATGAGAGTACAATATGACCTCATATTTGTTTTTGAGAATGCTACATGAGTACACACAGAAAACCATTGAGAGGAACGTATACCACATCACCATCGGCAGTCTCTGGATGGTGCAAGTATGAGTGATTAAAAACAACTTTATACACACGTCTGTATTTATCTGCAATGAATGTATACCATTTCTGTGATTAAGGAAAGGAAAAGTCTTAATTTAAAAAACACTGCCCAGGTTTTGGCTCATAATTTGAGAGGTTGTATGTCCTCAGAGGCATCTACGTGGCTTGTCCCTTCTGACCTGAGGGAATATGCTCAGTTTTTCTGCAAAATGCCACAGTCATGGACGTCTGACCGCCCGCCCATCTGCAAGTCGGTTTTCTTCCAGAGCCTGTGAGGCTACGGCCGGGGACTGAAGCCACCTGCCCAGGTGAGACGTGGTTGCAATACTGTGTCCAAGGCCTGTACTTCAGTGGGGGACCCTTAGAGTAAGTTCTGGGGGGAGGAGAGAGAAAGCAGCTGGAAAACAGGGGGAAAGGAATGTCTGTAAGGTCTCCATTGAGTCCTTGCTCCCATTCTCGTCTCCTGAGCCTCGGAGGCAGGGGAGGTGGGAGGATGCCAGGAACCCGGCCTCACAGACTCCTGAGCCGGTGAGGCATCTCAGAGACGACAGAACCGAGAAGGGTGCTGAACGGCGAGCTGTCGGAGTAGCCCCACCACAACGAGAGGCACTGGACGGAGGTCTGGACCCTGGAGAGCCCTTCTGAGCCAGCTCTGTGCGGGCTGTGTCGTCTCTCCCAGATGCCGGGCCCAGGAAGGACATAAAGAAAGCCGTGCCTGGCACAGACCACCCCCAGCCCCCCACCCTCTCCACTCGTCCCAGGAGACGCTGGGTGCACAGCCAGGGCCGGGGTCTCCTGGGGCTGGCTGCTGACAGGAGAGCACACCTGATGTGCAGCTTGCTGACAGTGAGGAGCTGACACAGAGAGAAACCACAACAGGATGTGAGGGGAAGGGGGGCCACGTCCGCCTGCACAATAAAGTCTCCATCAGCCCCGAGGAGAGGCCCCCAAGGCGGTCTCAGATGTGTGTCCAAAGTAAGGTATTTCTGAGGGGTGGCTGGAATACTGCAGTCTGGAAATGCTTTACTCTTAGAGAATAAATTACTGCAGACAGAGTCAGCCACACAAGTCGCTCTGAGGTGCTTGCGCGCTTTCCTGAAGGAGACCAAAAGGCAGGTTTCAGCGGTCAGCACTGTCGTGAGTGCCCCAGGTCACGTGTCCTCAGGGCGAACCGTGGCTAACTCCTGAGTGGAGACAGTTAGCCCGGCGTGGGGAGGCCGGGAGGGGAGAACTGCAGGAGCACCGTGTCCCAGCCAGGAGAGCCGAGGGGGGGAGAGGCTGCGACGCTTGGGGCCCAAAGAGAGTGCCCGCGCGGAGCCCATGAGGCGGTGCGTGGGCCTGGGCTGGGCGGGCGGGTGGCACTCACAACGAACGGCAGTGCGGAGCAGGCAACAGGGCGGTCCCCGGGGAAAGTTTTAATAGTGCGGGGGAGCCGCGTCCCCCCGTCACTCATGGGAAACCCGGTCCAAAGCCACATAGAAACTGTCCTTGTCATCCAGGCAGTGCCAGCCGATGGGGCCCACCTCGCAGTCTGCACAGACCAGGAACTTGATGTTGCCCACGTCCTTGGTGAAGCCCACATTCTCGAAAGTGAACATGTCCTCCACCAGCCAGTGCTCCTGCAAGAGGTCACCCTCCGGACCACCGCCGCTGGCCAGCGCCGGCTTCTTCCTCATGGAAGGGAGGAAGAGCTGCAGGGGGAGAAGAGAGACCAGGGCCCGGCTTACTCCCCATGGCTCCCGCTCCCCTCTGCCCTGGTTCTCAGGAAAGCGGGGAGAGTGGGTGCCAGGGGAACTGGGGCCTCCCCAGGTCCACAGGGCCCGCCTTCCTCGGCTCCCGTCCGCCCGGGCTGGATGCACCAGCTTTCCTGACAGCTCCTAAGGGTGTGGGTCTGCTCTGCCCTGAGACCCTGCAGGCCCAGGGCTCCCTAACACTCGGCTCACACATGACCTCCTCAGGTCTCCTCCAACCAGACGACCCCGACAAGCTTCCCATGCCTGCATTTTGCAAAGCAGCCTGACTGAGGCGTTACTGACACACATGTGACTCAAGTGGACAACGTGACACATTCTGCTCCCGGCGCACCCTGACACACCATCAAGGTAGCAAGGAGTCAGCACCCCCGCTTCCTCATGCCGCTCCCATCCTATCGTTCTCTGAGACCATCTTATCTGTCTACCGGCTCAGCTGTTTATCGGCGTCTCCTTCCACCAGGTCCATTTTCCCATTCACGAGCACATCCCCAGTGCCTGCCAACAGCACGTCATCCAGAGCAGAGCTCACACATTTACTAACAGGGTAAACACCGGATATCTGGCTTCAGTCTGTTCCATCACTGTTACGAATATGCTGGATTTAAAAAGGAACAGGAAGGAGAAATGTCTACTAGAATTTGGACTATTATCTCCAGGATCTCTGCACCTCCCACCCACGAGGAGAGAGCCTCCGGTGTACGCATGCACGCATATGCACATGCAATTCCTGTGATTTCTTCCATGTGGTGACCCTGGCTAGCGCCCTGATCCTGGACAGGCTGCTGAGCTGCACTGAACTCTGAGATTCTGCTGATGTCTCAGGGAAACCTCTTGTGCTTCTTTCATTAACTATCCATAGTACCCTTTTAAACATATTCTTTCTCTTTGTAAAAATGCATTTTCATTATAGAAAACTTGGCAAGCATGCTATGCTGTGCATGTGTGTGTGCACGCACACACATGCTGAGTTGCTTGTCATGTACAACTCTTTGTGACCCCTGGACTGTGTCCCTCTAGGCTCCTCTGTCCATGGGATTCTCCAGGCTAGAATACTGGCGTGAACTGCCATGGCTTCCTCTATGGGATCTTCCCGACCTAGGGACTGAACCCCAGTCTCTTACGTCTCCTGCACTGGCAGGCAGACTCTTTACCACTAGCTCCACCTGGGAAGCCCATGCTATACTGTAGTTGAGGATAAAAACTGTTACAAAACAGAATGAACTTCTGTTCAGTTCAGTCGCTCAGTCATGTCAGACTCTGAGACCCCAGAGACTGCAGCATGCCAGGCTATCCTGTCCATCACCAATTCCCCGAGCTTATTCAAATTCATGTCCATAGAGTTGGTGATGCCATTCAACCATCTGTTAACCTTTTTCATAACTGTCCCTTCAGCAAGTACTTGTGGTGCTCTTAAAGCGTGTCCATACATTCTCTGACAGTCCTCCCAAGCTTCGGACACCTTGCCTCCCCCTTGAGCCTGGCGGGCTGAGGGGAGGGGGACAGGTGAGGGGAAGGGGACAGGCGAGGTGAGGGAAGGCCGGGCCACCTTTGTGGGTTTCTCTTGGAGCCTGAGTGGGAACTGCAGCTCCCCTGAGGCCGCTGGCAGAAACGGAGAGACAGCTCACTGCAGCCTGTTTCAGGTGCCGGGATCCTCTCGGTCCATAGGCGGACACAGGTGTGAGCAGGCTTCTGAGAAGGCCCTTCTGAAAGGTCCCGTGAAAGACCCCCAGTGGAAGAGCCGAGATATAGCTGCACCCAGCCAATCTCCAAATTTGTAAGCAAAATGGTTTCAAGTCATGGTCTGGGGCAATTTTGTTATGCAGCAATAACCAGGGCAAAGCCACCTATAGAGCGGCAGCGTATTCCACTTTGACTCCTGATCTCTTACTGCGGTAAACTACATATAACATAAAATTGTCTGGTGCCATTAAGGACATTCACATTATGCTGCCACCATCACCACCATCCACCTACCCTTTTATAACCATACTTACCAACACCCCTGACACCCACCCTCCCCTTCCTACCTCCTGGCAATCACTCATTGGTTCTCCATTTCTAAAATTCAAAAATGTCACACAAACGTAATGATACAGTAGTAATCTTCTGGACCAGCTTTCTTCACGCAGCAGAGCTCCCTGAAGAGCCAGCCACGGTGCGGTGCCCACGGTGCGGCTGTCCTGCAGCTCCTCGGTCACCCCTGGGCTGTTTCCAGGTCTCGCCTCTCAGGAACCAAGGTGCGGTGAACTCTGGAGCCAACATGTTCTCATCCCCCTTTCTCTCCCACCCGCCCACGTCCTCCGGCTCTCCAGCCCAGACCGCCCTTCCCCCCAAAATATGTAAGGAAGCAGCGACTCCCTTCCCTAACTTACTACCCTTTGCGGTCTCAAGCCCTTCAGTGAATGCTTCTTTTCTCTGTGACTGTAATTTCCTCTCTGAAACCTCTGAGTTTTACCAAAGGACCGAGAACATTTTACAGAGAAACTGTTCATAGGACTTAAAAAGAACACGGACCGTGGGGCTTAGTCGCGAGGGCCGAGAGCCTCACTCCTTCATTTAAACCCCACGGTCTGTGTCCACCCTCCACCGCTTTCTGGGCAGCGGTGACCCACCCTCCTGGTGACTCACGACTTCGGCAGGGCTCACCGAACCGGAGCCAGCGCTCCCAGGACGCCCCCCGCTTGCCGTCCCTTCCTCCCGCGCCCACTCCCCCGGGTCCCCTGCGTCCACGTCCCCTCCCCCAGGTCCCGGCGGAGCGTGGCGGCGAGCGGGGAAAGAGGCAGGAGGTCGCGACGGCAGGCCCACGGGAACCGACATCTGGGCCTGAACTACGGCCCAGGCCCCCGCGGAGCTCGGTCTGCGCGGTCCCGGCGGGACGGGACCCGGTCAAGGCCCGCCCCCCGCACCCTCACCTGGCGGCGGGAGAAGAGCGCCGTGCCCGGCTGCAGCACGCGGGAGCCGCAGCGCCGGCACAGCACCGCCTTCCGGTTCCGGCCCTCCTCGGACACCAGCTCGCTCGGCGGCTCCGCGGCCTCCATAGCCGCCACCCCGGCCCTCGGCGGCGACGCGCAGCTTGGAGCCGCCTCTTCGCACCGCGCAGGCGCGGTACCGGCGGCGCTCGCTCGGCGCAGGCGCGGCCTCCCAGCGCCGGACGCCACTGCGCAGGCGCGGGCCTCCCGGCTGGTTGGCTGGAGTAGGCGGGGCTCTGTGACAGGTGTGTCCTGGGGCGTGACGGGGCGCTGCTCGGGCTCACCTGGCCTCTGGGCCTCCCTCACACCGGATGGAAGCTGGGCCGGTCCGGGTGTGCGCTTCGTCTCGGGAGCGGCGGGGACGTCCCGGTCTCAGAGCAAGTCTCAGCCGCAGTAGCGTCCGCGCGACACCTGCCCTCTGGGGTGGAGACCAGTGTCTGGAAGCTGCAGATGCTGCTCTCTGTCCGGGTCGCACTGACCACTCACTGCGGGGCAAGCGGTGTTGAAGCGCTTCCCTATGGGGGTACGGTCGGAAGGGCCACCTTCCAGGGCCCAGGATCCAGGCATGGCCTGCAGCCACTGCTCTGGGTCGTTCCAGTTTCGCATTCTCCCCGGTTAGTCTTAAGACGTCTAGCTTACTGGCTGTAGTGTGGCGGGCGCGGTCTTACCGAGGTGGCAGGGGAAGCGGAATAGGAAGGGAAGCCAAGTCGTGTGAGGAATGTCTTGTCTACCCAACCACCCCGGTCGGCATGTTCTTCTCCTCTTTGTCCTTTATTAAGTCAGCCTTTGCTGAGCAGTTATAGAATATACTACAATGTTATACAATTATATAATATGAGAATACCGTGATGATAGGCACTCTACTGGAGAACAGAGTCTAAACAGGAAGATGGGCACAAACCCAAGGACATTTGATAAAGACAATCCAGGGAACAAAGCGAACTGGAAGCACCGATTAGGAGTAATTCCATCTGGGGAGTCAGAAAAAGCTTAACCTAGGTGACACTCTTAGTGTCTGAAATGCAGAAGTCAGCGGTGAAGACGGCCTTCACCCCAGGCCGGGTGACGGCCGGGGGCCATCAGCTCTTCATCCCCACTCTGCTGCCTCCCCTCTCTTCCCTGAGGGAGTGAGTCACAACTGTCACAACTTGGTTTAATCAGCAGGCACGATCCATCCGCTAGGGACAGGCTGGCAGGCCTCTTTCCTGAACCTCTTTGGCTCCCCCTTCCCGTTGCTCTGGGAATATCAGGATTTTTGCAGTTTTGCAAGCCTTCCACATATTAGTTATCTGTTATGTGGCACAAAACCGAGGGAAAAGGACCAGGGCGACTAAAGCACTAAAACTCAAGCGCGTACAAACCCAGCCCAAGATCGCCTCCGCTTTGTTCCCTGTGGCTTCCAAGTCAAGTCCAAGTGTGAGAGGAGGCCGTGAATATGTGATTCTGATAACCTCTTGCTAATGAGTCTCCGGAGACCTCTCAGCTGTCCAACAGAGACACAGCAGAGTGAGTGGCAAACACACAGGGGAACGGGTTGAAGAGACAGGACCTATAGCAGATCCCTATGCCTTGTCCCCAGAAATGTCTGCAAGATGGTGCTGGTTTGCCACAAACTCTTACAGGCATTTGAGACCTTTTTTTTTTTTTAATATTTTCTTAAAAAAATACAAACAAAATGAACTTTAGGTCAATACAACTCAGGGAAAGAGGAAAAAAAGGAATTTCAGAGCAAAAGGAAAGTGCATTCTTGTTTAGGTGACCATGTTGTCCCCACACTCCCAATTCTCAGAGCAGGAATGTCACTGCACAGCACAGGGAGCCTTGAAAGGAGTTCAGAAGGACAGGAGGTACTGAAACTAACAAATGGATTTCGGTTGTCATTGATTATTCTGTCCTGGGATGAGTAAGATCCAGTCTAAAGACAGGGAAGGGGTGTTCTAATAAGAAAGGACAACATGTACAAAACACAGCAGTAGAAACGACTCCTTAGCAGAAGTATGCCCTTACACGAATGAGGGAGTTATCAGGTGGCTGAACTAGGCGGCTGCCACCCCCACTCCTCCCCTCCCCCTATAAACAGTACTGACGGCAACAGTGGAGAAAGCAGTCCTTGATTCAACAGAGGAAAACCTTCCTGGGATAAAGGCGCGGTGGCAGGGAAGGCAATGGTGAAGTCACAGTTTGTCCCAGGCGCACAGAAGGCCCACTTTTCCTCCACTGCTGCTCAGCTAACACATGCTGGCTCTGCTACTCTGTCTCTAGGGCCCAGGAAAGACCCTCAAGTAACACGCCCCCTCAGCTTTCCACGTGTTTCAGGTTCCCTCACACCCCACCGCATCCAGCTCCCGTCCTGCACTGGATATCCAGTTCCCCCACTCCCGAGGCCCCCAAGGTTTTGACAGGGCTCTTCCCTCTTTTTCCTCCAGAGCAGAACTGTGTTGCCCCTGCTACCTGTAGACTAGGATAGAGATTTATTCTTGGAAAACCAAGAGAGTTGGTACCCTTCCAACCATCGAGGCTGGATACTGCCCACACCCTGGAGTTCATATTCACCTTAATTCTCCACAGCACACGAGGCACAACTTAAAGGTATATTCTCTAAGTTAAAGGTGAGGCCCAAGTGCCCCTCGGCCAGGAGGAGAGGGGTCTGGCCCATCACACCCACGCAGGATGCGGCCTCCTTCCTCGAGTATCAGCTGCCCACCCTCCTCGGGGACACCCCCAACGCCAGGGCGTGTCAAATAAGCGCAGTCAGAGCGGCGGCGCTGAGCCTGTAATCCCCTCCCCACACTGAGAAACAGACATTCTGGAAAGGACCCTTGGTTCTCTGCAAACTGTCCCTTCGCCCCATCACTTCTCTCGGAGAACACACACGCCGGCGTCGCAGCGCTGAGTGCCCATGGAGGTCACGACCTCCCAGCTGTCGATGATGGGGTCGTAGCACTCAATGCTGCTCAGCAGGGAGTTCCCGTCGTAGCTGAGGGAGAAGGGCCATCGGTGAGGGAGAAGGCGCACCTCCACCGCCCCTTCCAGGCCCCTCCCCACAGGCTCTGCCCCCGCCCTCGGCCCCCTCCCTACGCATGGCCCTGCCCCCAGCCCCTCCCCACCCTAAGATTGCCATGGGGCCCTCTCTCCCCGGAACCAAACCCTGTCTCCACCGCACACGTGGATCAGATCACACGGCCCCAGATGCCAGATCTAACCCTCACCCTGCAATTGCATAAAGTCTCCCCCGAAGCACCGTGGCCCCGACGTAGCACCGCGGGGTGGTCATGCTCGTGACGGTTGTCCAGGAGTCGGTGCGAATGTTGTAGGCTTCCACAGAAGAAAGGTGGGCTGTACCATCGAATCCGCCCACCACATAAATACGGTCATTCAGCAGGGCTACCCCTGCACCTGGGGAGGAAAGCGCACAGCAAATGAAGGCTGCTGAGCTGAGGATCTGAACCCTAGAAACAAAACCCTCACAGACGGCTGGGTGAGCCCCAGAGTGGCCGAGGGACAGGCCAGGGCCAGACAGCCTGGAGGATCCAGCCCAGCACAGGTCACCCACCTGTAGCCCTCTCTGACTGGCTGTCATCTTGCTTTCATTAACTTGGAGCCCAACCCTCGGCAGGAGAGAAGGGAGTGGAAAAAAGAGGGAAATAGAGGAGAGGGGTTGTGATGGGTCTGGAGCACCTGGTACCCGGAGGCAGGGCTCTCTGTTGCTCTACCCCAGCCTGAGGGCTCAGGAAGACCCCCGACTCCCGCACGCGCACACTCCCTCAGGCAGCCCGCACCACTGCACAGGGCTGGGCCGGAGGCTAGGATGTAGAGGGACTCGGGTGCAAAAAAACAAGGCAAGGAGGCTCTGCTCCGACACTAACCCAGTCAGAGTCTGGGCTGTCTCTACTGCCACTATATTTAGAGAAAACAGGCGCAGAGAACGGCCCTGACCCATGTTTCCTAGGTCGCCAGTGATGACAGGCCTGCAGCCCCACTGCCCAGGCGAGGTCTGACAGTCCCATCTCCTGCCCCGGCACCTGCCCAGTCTTACCTGAGCGCTTGGTGGCCATTGGTGTGACATTAGTCCAGTGTCCTGTATGGGGGTCGTACTTCTCAACTGAGTTTAAGATATTCAAGCCATCATATCCTCCTGAAAGACAGAGCGGGAACCATTCCAGAAGGAATGGTCAGTCCTGATGCCCACTCCCGGCCTGCCTTTCCTGAGTGCTCCAACTGATGCTCTTAGTCCCAGCTCTCCCTCAAGGGCTCCAAAGAGAAACCTGATGGTGCCCTATCTTCTGCTCTCACGGAAAGGAGAATCCCAGTGAATGAAAAATATACTGGGACAGACGAGGGTTTAGGGGCAGGAAGTCTATGAACCGATTCTGATGAGAGGATCCCACCCCGAGGCTGCTGCCCGCTAGTCGTCCCACCCCCTCCCCATCCCAGACCCCACACACCTAGACAGTAGATCACCCCACTGGCCACCACGAGGCCGGCACCTTCCCGGGCCGTCTGCATGTCGCCCAGCATGCTCCACTGGTCAATGTTTGGGTCATAGCGCTCCATACTGGTGTGGCGCCTGCTTCCATCAAAGCCCCCAGAGACATAGATCATATCTGCTCAGAATGAAGCAGTCACAGACCATTAGAGTGAGAGGTTTCTAACGACTGCTTCTCTACAAATCTCCCACAACTCTTCCAAATGCCTGGAGCCAAAAATAACTGTCTGTTTTTTTAAAGGGATAAATCAATTAACTCTTTCTTAAAGAGGACAGCACAGTCAAGACATGTGAGAAGAGGGTAAGATGGAATCTTCAGAAACATTCCCTAGATGGGAGTTTGCAAAACTACAACTAGTGCCTGCTGCCCCCTCAGCATACTGGAACTTGAGTTACCAACTCCAATGAGGGCCCTGAGATGCCTGGGAGTTTCCGAAAGCAGAAAGGCATGACTGACCCCACCAGTAGCCTCCACATTTCATGGAGAAGCGTGAACCCCGATCCAGCCACCCCACAACGCACACGCAGCCTGTGCACGGCCTACCTCCGAGGGTGGTGGCTCCAGCCAGGCCGCGTCGCACAT